ACCTCCAACCACTGCTGTAGTCTCTCTTCTTGTTTATTTTCTTTCTCCTCCAACCACTACTGTAGTCTCTCTTGTTTATTTTCTCGTTCTTCTCGTTTCTTTTCTTTCTCCTCCAGCCACTGCTGTAGTCTTTTTTCTTGTTTATTTTCTTTTTCCTCCAACAACTGCTGTAATCTCTCTTCTTGTTTCTTTTCTTTCTTCTCCAACTACTGCTGTAGTCTCTCTTCTTGTTTCTTTTCTCGTTCTTCTTGTTTATTTTCTTTTTCCTCCAACAACTGCTGTAATCTCTCTTGTTTATTTTTCTGTTCGAGCTGCCACTGTTGCAGGTTTTCTTGCCACTGCTGTTGTCTCTTTTCTTGTTGCTTTTGCTGTTCTTGTATTGCTACCATCAAATCTGCTAAGTTGTAGTTTGATTTGCCACCTCTGGTTTCCATTTTTTTCTTCCCACTCTCTGACACCAATTTTTTGCGTCTATGGTCGTTTGTTAATTTCAGGTATAAATTCTTCCCGAGGAACTTCAGCGATACAAGTCCTTTCTTAAATAAAACTAGTTTATTCTTTCTTAATACAACTTTGCAATACACAAAATTTCCACAGTCACTTTATTTTAAACACACGCTATAATTCACAATGATTAACGCACTTTACTTACGGTCACTACCGCTCACTTGACTCAATTATCTGTCTCTATATTTCACTATCTGCTATTATTATATCTCCGCTTTATTTGCCGGGCTTATATATCAAAAAGAGGGCGCTTAGAAAAGACTAGAGATGCCAGGAACAGTCACGATCCTTCTAGAAACTCCAGCGCTAATGCTTCCAGCGTCGCGTGATTTCCGCTGTCGTAACAATATTTTCTATATGTGTATTATAATAATACTCAGTTTTTCTGTCGTGATAATGCGTGCGCACATACTACCAATGCATGAATGCGCGCGCACTTCATTTTAACGGACGTAAACAAAAGGCGGGTGTAAATATACTTCAGTAGAAATTGTGTTTAACAACTTACTAAAAGCTTATCAAAGTTCTTAAAAAGGACTAACGTTAGTTTGTTTAATGATATTATAAGTTTATTTATTGATAGCATTAAGTACGGTAAGGTTTAACCCTAACTAAACTAAAGCAAAAATGTAAACAAGTTATAGTGTTAATATATCTCTTTATCGCATATAAGACATACTTAATAAAGGTTAACTGCTGTTAGGCCTAAGACAAGTGGACTTGTAGAGTTTGGTGTCTGCGATTGGGATTATTTTGTATTATTCTAAAATCACGTATTTATACAAGTACTATTGCAACAAACATATTAATTTGTCCGTAAATACTAATACATATATACGTACGACATTTGTTTCACTGGTGGAACTTTTATACCTTTATTATACTGAATTAAGATGACTTTTTTCTTATTACTTCTAAAATGAAACATCTCATGATACAGATTATTAATGAACTAATATACATATTATTAGCTCTGAATGTTACTCGAAAAGTGCGCTAAGGAATTTTGTTTTCTATTTATTGTTTGTTACTTACACTAGCAGAAATACTCACCCTCCGGACAGGTATAACTGTTAGTTCCTGCGGAAGGCTATTAGGCCTGCAGTCTTTTCTGGAATTGTCTGACAGTTCTACAACAATGTACTCATAATTGACATCCAATAATGTTCACCATCCATGAGAAAAATGATTTTATTAAAATTTTAGTTTACAAATAAGCTATCATCACAGCATTACATCACAGAGTAGATTTTATTAAAATTATTTCTTTGTAGATGCAGTTATCAATGAAATTGTCTTGCTTTTCTATTGCAACTCTCATGAGATTTTCACAAAAGGAAAACAAATAATTTTTTAAGTTTGTTTTTTGATTGTTTTATATTTGAAACTTACTCGTTTTTTTTTTGTAATTTTAACTGGTTAAATCTGAAACATGTCATTTTTGTGGAAATTTCAATTATTTTATTTATTGCTCAGCTATAAAAGTATTGCCTAGTTATATAAAAATTACTCAGTTATGATCAGTGCTATAGTTTCCGAGATCCGAGTTTTGGACGAATACATCGCAAGCTCCATTATGATAAGATTTATACCTGTTTTTCTCATGCCTTTTGAAAAGGGCACACTTTTCAAATCGCATAGGTAACTAAAACTTGATCAAATGATTTTATCAAATGTATTATTTAAGTACTTATAATTTTATGTGGATATTGTGTGTTTCTTTGTTTTCAAACTTCCAAGGATATATTTTCAATGATAATATTATAAAGGGTGTCCCAAAATGCATATACGAAAAAGAAAGTTGAATAACATTTGTATTATTTAATATAACAACAAAATTCAAAATCAAATGTCTCCTGAAGGCTTGTAAGTTTTATTTAATTTAACTAATAATTTTAGCTATAATCAGTCTAATTCTGAGAACACATTTTCCAACATAGCTGTAAGGATGGATAAGATAGCATCAGGGATACGAAGTTTCAGTTCCTCAAGATTCCTTGGTTTGTTATGGTAGACTTTTGTTTTCCAAAAGCCCCAAAGATGAAGTCCAATGGGGTTAACTCGGGAGAACTCTTCAGGATTTATCATTTTACTCAAGAACAGGGTCGGTTCTGAAATCTGAAAAGAAAACACATTCATAAATAATAATAATGACATTAACGCCAATAAAACTTAAAAGCATTCAGAAGATATTTTGTTTTGAATTTTGTTGTTATCTCTAATAATAATAACAAAAAAAAAACGTCATTAAACTTTCTTTTTGGTATGTTCATTTTTGGGGTACCCTGTACAACTGCCACATTTATTTCATGCATGAAGTTTTATAGTAGCTTTACATTTACTTGCATTACGAAATGTTGTTTCTTTCTAATATATTCCGTTCTTTTATTTTAGATCGATCCAAAAATAGCCTTTCCAAAACGGGCACACCCGAAGGTAAGTTCACTTGTAAGACTTTTTTCCCGTATATAAATATCAGAGTTGTTATAGCGTGGATGGGCATTTCGGGAAGTTTCTAGTGGGTGTGGTATTCTATTTTACTTCTACACCATACACACAGATCGCGACCAAGCCTACACCTACATCTCTGCACGTCTGATTAAGCGTTCATGTGATTAGGTGAACCTGGACAAGCTGTACGAAGTATTAGGTGTGCTGTACAAATTATTAGATTTACTGCAGCTGTTTGACTCCCAGTGTATTAAATATCAAATCTTTGACTTTTTTTAATTTTCAAAGCCGTGTTTAACTGATCCTAAGAGTTTCGTAGATCTGAAAACTGTAAGTTTTGTTAATCCTTTTCCGAGTGTCCTGCCGTCTGAAAACAGATTTTTTGTACGCCTGGATTCTAAACGTCAGTAAAGGTTATCTAGTTTTTTCTGCCTCAACATCACAAATAACAGATGTTTTTAGTCCAAGGTGTATTGTAAAACCTTATAGTACACACAATCATCCGGTGCGTTGAACCGAAAAGAAACATTTTCTGGGTTTTTAGAAATTTCCACCGGTTTGATAAAATATACGAAATTGCGCTTTCTAATTCGGTTGAAAGCAATCACAAATTGTTGAAATTAAAATAACATCTGGTAAGATTAAAGACTTTATGTTATTGACAGATACTTATTATTATTATTTTTGCACGATATGAGAAACTAAAAGCCTTGACACAAAAGGCTGGTTTGGTTTGTATTTCACTTCGCTTTCATTAAATAAGGTTAAATTAAAAGATAGACTTTGTAAAATGGAAAAATAATGTATCCATAAAGAACGATTTTCTGTGTTCTCTCTTACGACTTAAGATCTGGTCTATACGTTAACTAGCTGTCCCTCTGAGTGTAGAATATATTGTGGTGTAGAATAAACGTTTAGTAGCTGCCCCTCTGAGTGTAGAATAAACGTTTACTAGCTGTCCCTCTGAGTGTAGAATATATTGTAGTGTAGAATAAACGTTTACTAGCTGTCCCTCTGAGTGCAGAATATATTGTAGTGTAGAATAAACGTTTAGTAGCTGTCCCTCTGAGTGTAGAATATATTGTAGTGTAGAATAAACGTTTACTAGCTGTCCCTCTGAGAGCAGAATATATTGTAGTGTAGAATAAACGTTTAGTAGCTGCCCCTCTGAGTGTAGAATAAACGTTTACTAGCTGTCCCTCTGAGTGTAGAATATATTGTAGTGTAGAATAAACGTTTACTAGCTGTCCCTCTGAGTGCAGAATATATTGTAGTGTAGAATAAACGTTTACTAGCTGTCCCTCTGAGTGTAGAATAAACGTTTACTAGCTGTCCCTCTGAGTGTAGAATAAACGTTTAATAGCTGTTTCTCTGAGTGTAGAATATATTGTAGTGTAGAAAAAACGTTTAATAGCTGTCCCTCTGAGTGCAGAATATATTTACTGAAGAGCGGAATACCGTGTGAGCTGTGATAGTCTGTTGAGAGAGACACATGACTAACACTTAACCTCTTATTGGTAATGTTTCGCATAAAGTTGTGTGAACCATGTAATGTTTTGCACAAAGTTTTGAACCATGTAATGTTTCGCACTAAGTCGCGTGAAACAAGACGTGAATGAAATTGAGAAACTTGAATTATTTTAAATTCAGCTTCTAGTTTCGAAATTAAAAGTATTAATATGGAAGAAGACGCTGTAATGCAACGTTAGGGAAAACAATACTACCAGAAAACAAACACATGCACACACACACATATAGTTTGTTTCCTTGGAGAATTCTCTTTAAATGGATATTACCTCACTTTCAGTCTGCTCCTTGAGAGAAACAGCCTCCTGTGTGGCAAAGAAAGTTGGAAAACTCGGGTACAAAATATGTGGTATATCGGTAGCGTTTCTAAGTGACGTCTATTCCCACGGCTCATGTAGCCTGATAGCTAAGTCCTGGAGGTGAGTGCGGCGAACAGAGAGGAATCCATACGGTTCCCAGAGTTACGTAAACTGACTGCAGGATCTTACTGGTTGTTTGTAGCTTGTTTACAACTCACAGTAGTTTGATAGAAACATGTTCAAGTCACATGATGTAAATATACAGGAATGACACTGAAGTTCATATATTTAGAACACTAAACAAAAACAAAAACTTTTATCTAAAAGTTAAAAAAATAAAACATTTTTATAGCTTTCAATTACATCTACTGATTTACAGAAAATATTAATATCTGCCATAGTCCATATTGTTTAAAGCATACTTCAGTTTCTGTTTTCTTTGGGCCTTTTGAGCGCTATAAAAGTGATGGTCACTATTTCATCAGATAAAAGTGGCCCAAGAGTTGGTGGAAAGGGGTGAGGGATACTGTTGACTATCTGTGTTCGGTGGAAAGGGGTGGGGGATGCTGTTGATTATCTGTTTTCGGTGGTAAGGGGTGGGGGATGCTGTTGGTTATTTGTGTTCTGTGGAAAGGGGTGGGGGATGCTGTTGATTATCTGCGTTCACTGGAAAGGGGTGGTGTATGCTGTTGATTATCTGCGTTCAGTGGAAAGGGGTGGGGGATGCTGTTGATTATCTGCGTTCGGTGGAAAGGGTGGGGAATGCTGCTTATTATCTGCGTTCTCTCAAGTTTATTATTTGAAAACTACGGAAGACTATACGCAGATAGCTCCTGTGTAACTTTGCACAAAAATTATAATCAAATAGTTTTTGTTCTAGCTTAAACTGCTTAAATCTTCCACAACTTATAGTTTCCAGTTTATTATCATCTCTACAGTAATTCATATTGGTTATAGAAAACACCAATATCGACTGCAGTCCATTTATTGTTACAGTAGTGTTTCTCAATAAACGGTTCGCAGATCGGAGCCGCTTCGTCACAACCATCTTGCCGGTCTGTGAGATTTCACAAAAACAACAACAAAAGTTGACAGAATATTCATATGTAAATAATATTTTTTTTTTTTTTGTAATTGCGTTTTAGCGGTCCGAAACAATTTAGGGAGGTAACGAGCTGGTTCTTGGTATTGAAAAAGATGAGAAACTCTGGTTTACAGCATACTTCAGTTTCTGTTTGAAGTGATTATATGAAATCTTGGAATTGACACAATTCGTTTAGCTTATAGTTTAACCTCAATTATAATTTTTATTGTTTAATGCAGTTTGTATGTGGACTAAAATTGCTTTTACAAAAAAAGTGAAACTGCTGCAACTCGCACAGCTTATAATCCATATTGTTTAATACACTTTCTATACCGGCTTGAACTATTGCTCCAACTGGCATATCTTATAATTTACTCTAATCTCAACAATAATCCATATTGTTTAATACACTTTCTATACCGGCTTGAACTATTGCTCCAACTGGCATATCTTATAATTTACTCTAATCTCAACAATAATCCATATTGTTTAATACACTTTCTATACCGGCTTGAACTATTGCTCCAACTGGCATATCTTATAGTTTACTCTAATCTCAACAATAATCCATATTATTTAATACATTTTCTATACCGGCTTGAACTATTGCTCCAACTGGCATATCTTATAGTTTACTCTAATCTCAACAATAATCCATATTGTTTAAGAGAACATTAATCTTTGCAGGGTGTTAGAGCACTTAATGTTACAGCGTTTTGATGGAAAAGGCGTCTCCATTTAGGCCTCTTTTCTTAAGTATATCGAGAAATTAAGAGTTTTGGAATAAAGTCGCACACTGGTGATTGGTGCTTTTACATTTCTCTATAATAAGCATTAAGTATGCTTGAAAATGGCCGAGTCTAAAGAATTCGTTGTGATTGTGATTTTAATTTTTTTCTAAGTAACCTGCATACGATTCCCATAATAAATATTTCTCAAACTCACTTATCGAGTGAGTTGGAAGCTCTGAATTTTAGGATTTTCATAAAAGTTGCCTTTCAAATACTTACAGATAAAAAAATAAAGTTTTTTATTTCTCAATGGGCAAAGAATAAAAAATAGTCAATAGTAATTGTAAAACACACGGTCATTTTCATTTGAAATGTTTTAAACTATCTTCGCTGAATTATTTGGAAACCTTATGAAGAATCTGCCTGATTAGATCGAAACCTCAGTTGTTTTCAAACACAGGTGGATGTAGTGCATTAAAACATTTCAGATGAGTAAAATCCTCAGCATAAACTTTTTTGTAAACAATATTTAGCTTTGCTATTTTCTATCATGTTTGTCATCAGAGTAAGCGGGGGACATACAATGACCTGACAGCTACAATTATCAGTGCATTAAATAACTTAGTATCCAATTGTGATTGACTGAATAAAGTTACTCTAGCGTTTTCAGTATTATTAGTAAGCTCACGTACGGATAATATCGACAGTCAGCGAGAAATCTGATTTACTCTCATTATTTCACTACCACATGACTTGAAACAAGTTTGGTGCTATTTTTTACTCTCACAACTAAAGGACACTTAAAAACATTATTTCTATATAATTTGTTGTCATGAAAACAGTGGGCTGATATAGCCGAGGAAATAGTATATTATGAAGGTGTTTGAAAAGAGATGTCAAGTCCTGATATATTCTTTTGAATGTCGGGTTTTCCCCTGTTGCCTTGATAGGACTATATAGTGAAAAACACGAACTTTGTTTGTAGGAATTCTAAACGTTACTCAAGGCCAATAACTATTATTAAAGAATCATTGCCCAGGAACTCCCAAGGTGAGACATTTCCCGTATGGTATATCGCTACTCTTGTGTTTTATACAAACCATAGTAGGTGTATTTATATCATTTACAGACACACGCTTTTCTTCCTCCGATCTTAGATCACCAAGGAAACTAGAAAATAATCATGAAAAAATACAGGGAAAAATATAGAACAAACAGCTGGAATTACACAATTACGCACGTTTCTATTATCTTACAGTTGAGCTATTTTCTAGCTATATATTTCTAACTAGATAATGTCTGGTGACTAACAACTGACGGATTACTTCACATTTCTGTTATCTT